GCTGCATAGACATTTTTGTTTGTTTGTTTTTTGAGACAGGGTTATAGCTTTGGAGCCTATCCTGGAACTCGCTCTGTAGACCAGGCTGGCCTCTAACTCAGAGATCCACCTGCCTCTGCCTCCCCAGTGCTGGGATTAAAGGTGTGCGCTACCACTGCCTGGCTACACAGACATTTTTTATCTAAACTCTCTTTGATATATAAAGCATATGTGTTAACTCTACCTGTGAGTACTTTTGCCCATGAAATTTTTGTTCAATTTTTTATTTTGTTTATTTATTTACTTAGTTTTGGTTTTTTGATGGACTTCTTTTTTAAGATTTACTAATTTATTATGTATACAGCATGCATATATATATATATATATATATATATATATATATATATATATATATATTCCTGCATGGAAGAAGAGGGCACTAGACCTCATTATAGATGGTTGTGAGCCACCATGTGGTTACTAGGAATTAAACTCAGGTCCTCTGGATGCTCTTACCCTCTGAGCCATCTCTTTAGATCCCAGACAGGGTTCCTTTGTAACTTTGGAGCCTGTCCTGGAACTCACTCTGTAGACCAGGCAACCTCAAACTCAGAGATCCTCCTGCCTCTGCCTCCTGAGTGCTGGGACTAAAGGTGTGTGCCACCACCGGCATGGCTTACTTTTACTTTTTGAGACAAGTTCTTGCTATATAGCCCAGGATCCCGCATGTTGGGATTACAGATATGTACTACAATATCTGTTGAAATTCTGGTTATAGTAACATGTGTACAATGTAAGTTTTCAGCTTTTAGCACTGTGACAAAATACCTGAGATAATCAACTTAAAAATAGGAGATGGAGATAGCAGCCATCATGGGTTGAATGCACCCTGTATCCTCCCAGTAAGGCCCTGTCCCAGTCAACTCTGCCCTACCCTTGTTACATCACCACCTGCCTGAAGCTGAAGTTGCTATTCACAAACTAGCCAAGAAAGGCCATCTCCCTCCCAAATCATTGAGATCCCAAGGGACTCATATGGTGCTGTACAAGTCCATTTTGTGACTAGTAATAAAATCTTGAGAACCCCTAAGTCCAAAGGTCTTGCCCTGAATCTCCCTGAAGATCAGTACCGTTTAAAAAAAAAAAAAAAAAGCAGTTGCTGTCCACAGAAACAGAAAGGAGAAGAAAGTTAAATCCCATCTGATCCTGGTAGAGAGCCGCCTTCACCAATTGGCTTATTATTATGGGACTAATCGTGTTGTATCCTCCCTCCCACCCAGATGGAAATCTGAGTCATCCACAGCCTCTCCTCCAGCGGCACACATTTGTCTTGTGTACGGACCTTAAACAATCATTTTATAATAGGAAAGGCTGTTGCTTTGGCTATGGCAAGGGAGCAGCAGGGCACAGGCTTGCATGGGAGCAAACTGCTCATCTCAGAGGCCAGGAACCAAAGGCAGGGCATAAACTGGCATCCCACAATTTCCTTTAAAGCCAGACCCCCAGTGACTTAAAAATTCTCACTGAAACTCACATAGAATGAGCTTGTTTGTTTTGGGTTTTTCAAGATAAGGTTTCTTTGTGTAGTCCTGGCTGCCCTGGAATTTGCTCTGTAGATTAGGCTGGTCTTGAACTCACAGAGATCCACCTGCCTCTGCCTCCTGTGGGCTGGGATTAAAGGTCTGTACTACCACCTTCTGATTTAAGCTTTGTTTTTGTCATGCACGCCTTCAAGGTCAAGGCCAGCCAGATCTACACAGCAAGTTCCAGGATACTATAGCTACATATAGATATCCTGTTTCAAAAAAAAAAAAAAAAGAAAGAAAGAAAGAAAGAAAGAAAGAAGCAAGCTATCCTTCCAGCAGTAGCAAGGGCAGTCCTATAAAACACTGAAGTGAGCTTGGAGTGGTAGACCAGTTGGTAGAGTGCTTGCCTAGCATAAAACCCTGAGTTTGACCCTCAGCACCCCATAAGCCAGGTGTAGTGGAACACACATGTAGTACCAGCACTCTAGAAGACTTTAGAAGTTTCATATCCAATTTGGAGCCAGCCTGAGTTTTATGAGACCTTGACACCAAAATAAATATAAACCAAAGAAAATAGCAGTTGACTCTGTCCCAAAGTCTGCCTTCCTGGCAGCCCTCTCACTGGAGGTTGAAGACCTGCTCATTGGTTCAGAACCTTTCCCTATAAGCTGCTAACTGGGCCTAACCAGCTCTCCTTAACTCATTGGTGAGGTTCCACCTAGGTAGGTTACCCTTTTATAGCCGAGGATCTTGCTTACTGTATTGTCCCAGAACCCCACAACATGTACAACTACTGGCATTTCAGAGTTCTCTTTATTCTCAGAATTTTACACATTGATCTATATTTTGCCTAGGAGATTAAACAAAAACCCACAGGACTTAGAAGAAATCAAGGATCAGTCAAGTGTGCTATAGCAACCTTTAACCCCAGTACTGGAGAGGTAGAGGCTGTTTATCTCTGCGAGTTCGTGGCCAGCCTGGTCTACATAGTGAGTTTCAGGACAGCCAGAGCTACACAGTGTGATCTAAGTTACATCATCATTGCACAGTCCTCCCTTAGCCCTTGGTTGGTAGCCTAGTTCTGCTTGGGAGTCTCTTTGATCATCCTCCAGTGCCTGAAAGTTAGCTAGAGTGCAACCCTTAAGTGGTTAGACTGGGGTAGAAGACTTGCAGGTCACTGATGAGGGGCACTGCCTTTATAACTGGCAATGCCCCTCCTTAAGATTTAAAATGCAGGGGCTGGAGAGATGACTTGGTGGTTAAGAACACTAGTTTGTCTTCCAAAGGTCCTGAGTTCAATTCCCAGCAACTACATGATGGCTCATGACCATGTGTAATGAGATCTGGTGCCCTCTTCTAGCCTGCCAGAATAAAGGCAGATGGAACACTTTATACATAATAAATAAAATCTTTTTAAAAAAAGATTTAGAGCTGGGAGGTGGTGGTGCACACCTTTAGCCCTGGCACTTGGGAGGGAGGCAGAGGCAGGTGGATCTCTGTGAGTTTGAGATCAGCCTAGTCTATAAGAGTAAGTTCCAGGACAGGCTCCAAAGCTACACAGAGAAAGAAACCTGGTCTCAAAAACTAGAACAAACAAAAAGATTTAAAATGTTACATGAGGCTGGAGAGATGGGTCAGCAGTTAGGAGCACTGGCTGTTCTTGCAGAAGACCTGAGCTCACTTCCCAGCACCCACACTTCAGCTCACAACTGTCCGTACTCCAAGATCTGACACCTTCACACAGACATGCAGGTAAAACACCAATGCATATAAAATAAAAATGTTATTAAAAATGCTGTAGGGGAGGAAGGTGGAAATGTTAGGGTTTACACTGAGGTCCACTAAGGGAAAGTACTTCTTACTGGTCAAAACGAATAGAATTGGGGCTGAGATGGCTCAATGGTTATGAGCACTTGTTGTTTGCAAGGTTGAGTTTTGAGCGTCCTCATGGACCATCTGTAACCCCAATTCCAGATATCGTGCCCTCTTCTGACCCTGGTGGGCATCAAGTATGCATGCAGTACACTCATACACATAAAGCTTAAAAAAAAAAAAAACCGAACCTAATCTTAAATACACATAACATTCCCATTTGCCTTGTTTACAGTGCTATTTGCTATTGTCCCCTCTCTTAAATTAATCTAAAGTCCAGTGAAGGAGATGAAGACTATCCCCTCAATGAGATGATGTGCTTTAAGACCCCAGAAGCCCTTACAGATCTTCACAGATCTGCTTGCTGCTCTGAATTCCAACTCAAAACCTTGTCCCTTCTCATTTTTTCTTGGATATCAGACAAAATCCTAATACTTGCCCTGTTGCTCTGGACATTCTTTTTCTGAACTCCCCCTCTCTACATTTTCTACAGACCTCCATTGTTGAGCCTTACTCAGACGTGTGCCTTTCTTTCCTTTTTAAATCTTCAGTTTATATGTATGTGTGTTTTTCCTTCATGTATGTGTATGTACCACATGAATAGCCGGTACCCAGAGGTCAGAAGAGGAGGTCATGAAATCCCCCAGAACTGGAAATACAGATGGTTGTGAACCATTTAGATGTTGGGAACTGATTCCAGCTCCTCTGCAAGAACATAAGTTATTACCCACTGAGCAATCCCTCCTGCCCTTTGAAGTCAGGAAGTGACTGGGGTATGTTTGGGTATAAGCCTTGTTCCAAAACAATGGTGGTCAGGACAGCAGGACAAAGGGAGTGAAGGATGATTCAAGGTCACACATCTTTAGTCTAGTCACTTGGGATGCTGAGGCAAGAGAATCATGTCATGCCGGGAGTTTGTGGCCAGCCTGGGCAACAATGAGACCTAATTCCTGTTTTGAGATATGTTCTAACTTGTGATCTTCATGTCTGCCCATGTTCTGACATCAGATGTGCTCCACTTTAAGTTTTTTAAAATCGTGTGTGTGTGCTATGGGATATGTTGAGGGCGGGGTCATAGGACAACTTTCAGGAGTCAGTTTTCTATCTCACAGGCTGCACAGCCACCTCACTGGCCCAAGACTGTACTTCATTAAACAAAACTTGGGGTGGATACTGAGACACAACACATATCCTAGCCTGAGCTGCACGGGATATGGAAGAGCAGTTGAGCTATGGCTGAACCCTCAGATCTGCCTGGCCCCATGTATCTACTGAGCCCCTGAGAACATATGCTCTGAGCAGCAGGATGGGGCCAAGCAGGGGAGGAGGCAATAATATTGTTCAATATACAAGTCAGTATTATTTCTCATTAACAGTCTTTCCCTTGCTTCAACAGCAAAAAAATCTCAAAGCAGTTCTTGCTAAGAACAACTGAGGTGGCAGGTGACAAGATGACATACATCAAAAAGCAATGAGACTCACTCTGCCCCTCCCCACCTCCAGCAGCCTCCTGCAGAGACTGGAGGCCACAAGTCCTTTGCCTCAGTAGAGGAAGATACCTACACAGAGCTCTTATCTTCTCCAGGGGACAGTGGTTACTTAAAGAAACACAGAGGCCAGACACTAGTTCTAACAGCTTTTTTATTCCCTAGAAACAAAAAGCATGAGAAAACTCCAAAAGAAAATAGGTGCATGAATGACAGAATGAACCAGGGTGGCCTGGCTTAGGAGTTCTGAGGACAGCATGCTTCATAAGGAACCAGTGAGGACCCTGTCTCTTAAGTACCACCTGAGGAAGGTGAGGCTTGTGATGCAGAAAACTTACCCCCTCTACGAAGCAGATGTTACACAACTGTCTATTCTGAGACCCAGGACACTCGCTCTCAAGAACTGAGGTAGGCAGGTAAGAATGAGAGGGGACTTGAGTGTTACAGATAACCTGAACTCACAAATGACTGACATGAAGGGGGAGGTATCCAAGAACTTCATGCTTGATGGAGGAGATGGTCAATCTCGCCAAACCAGGCCCCAAGGCAGCTACAAGAAATGTTCCCATTCACTCCAAAGGACTCTCTGGTCATACTTAATCAAAAGCCACCCTTTCTCTGTATATTCTCTGATTGTCCCACTTGTGCATGGTTCTGTACCTCTCAAACCTAAGAGAGAGATTGGCAAGGGATAAGGAAAAACCCTGTCTCACCCTTGCATACACCAGTGTCCACGGAGGTGAAAACATTAGAGATCAAGGTCCTTTGTTGTGCGCTGGGTCACCCACCCCGCCCCTCCAGAACACATGTAGAGACTCATCACGGCACTGTAAAATAGCCTGTGGCTGCTGGCCTGCAGGGTAGACAGACTGGAGGCTTGAGTCCCCATCACAGGTCACAGGGAGGTCTCCTGGACAACGCAAGTAGGACTGCATGGCTGGTGGACAAAGCCATCCGCAGCCATCCTCTCTTTGTCCCTGCTGTCATGCAGCACTCCATTTCTCATCTTCTCTGGAAACGGTTTGGGAACCATGGGGGCATCCTGGGGGACACAAAGAGCAGAGGTAGGAGCGAGGGTGGACAAGGTAGGCCTAGTGTGGGAAACATGGCAGACACAAGGAGAACAGGGGAATAGCTAGCTACATGTGACAATGGGTCTCACCTGGCTGTGGCTTCTCCAGCAAAGCCGCTTCTGGCAGGATGAGGGCAGGAGTGAGAGGAGCTTTGGCAACACAGGATAAATGGTGCCAGGGTTCAGGGTCCGGCCCCGCATTCCCCCTGAAGGCAAACATGTTTGTCAAGAGACCCTCAGAGCATCAGTAGTTCCCTTCACCAAGGACCCAGTCCTCCAGCCCACTCTCATGTCAGCAGAGGAGAGTGGCTGTTACTGACACTCGGTGGCCCAAGGGCAGGGTCCCACCTCCCCCAGACTGAAAAGTGCCCCTCAGCCCCTCATTTTGCTGTGCGGCAACCCCATATCCTCACCGGTGAGCAGGCTGACAACCAGGCCCACAACGATGACTGTGGTGGAGTTGTGTGCACTGTACCATAAATAGGACAGGGAGTAGAACCGCTGTAGTCCTGTGAGCCTAGGGTGAGAGTGAGGACAGTCATCTGGCAGGACATTCTCGAGGTCTCAGAACCTAGCCTACCACTGCTTATGGCTTGTGGTAACCCATCCCTTAGCAAGGTCCCCATGAAATCCCTCAAAACTGAGCTTCACACCCGAGGAGAAAGTGAGCCCGCCTCACTTGGACTGGGTGGAGGAAGGCATCAGGGTGGTCACAGTGGCCATGGTCAGGTTGCTGGGCAGGAAGGAGCTGGACCCATTAACAGGAGGGGACGCCACGGCAGAACTCATCCTGTTCACTATGCTCCCAATGCCGATCCAGAAGGCCATGGTGAGTCCAGTCAACAGGCCCACGATGGCACCCTGCCCAGAGACAGTCAACTCTTGTCACAAGGCCCACCACAACCTTCATACCAGTCCCCAGAATTGTTGAGTACCCCAAAAGCCCAGTTCTATCCACATGCATATCTGGGGAGTCAGATGAGTCACTCACAAGAGGGTTGGCACATGGAAAGAACATCCCCAGGCAGAAGAGTCCCAGCAGTGGTCCTCCAACCATGCCAAAGATGCTGAGTGCCGCCTGGAGTTGATGCAAAGAGAAAAGAACACATGGGCTTAGAGTCTTCTGCCTCCAATTCCTGTCAATCATCCGCTGTTGGTTTCTTCAGGGTGGGAATGGCTGAGATGATGCACTCCAAGTTTAGGCCAAGCTCTAGGTGACTCTGGGCTAACAACATCCTAAAAATAACGTTGGGGCTTTTGCTCACGTGAGGGAGTCTATTCACAGTTAAAGGCCATCTACCCAAGGAGAATTTATGGGACTGGTGAGATGGTTCAGGGGATGAAGGTGCTTGTTACCTAAGTTCAATGTCCAGGACCCACATGGCTCAAGGGGAGAACCAATTCTCAAAAGCTGTCCTCTGACCTCCACTGACTGGCATGCAAGTATCCACATACAACAAATGAATAAATGTAATTTTGTTTTTTTCTGGTTTTGACAGGGTTTCTCTGTGTGTAGCCTTGGCTGTCCTGGAACTTGCTCTGTAGACCAAGCTGGCCTTGAACTGAGAGATCCACCCACCTGCTGCTGCTTCCCAAAGGCTGTGATTAAAAGTGTGCACCACCATGCCCAGCTTAAATGTATAACTTTTTATCTTTTTGTTTGAAACAGGGTTTCTCTGTGTAACAGCCCTGGCTGTCCTGGAACTTGCTTTGTAGACCAGGCTGGCCTCAAACTCAGAGAGGCCTCCCTATTCCTGGGATTAAAAGTGTGTGCCACCATGCCCAGCTTAAATGTAGTAATTTTTATTAAAGGCACATCCCATACATCTCAAAACAGCTACCTTCATTTCCCATTTCAAATATATCCCCCCCATCTCTGCTAAGGGTGTCTTTCTTTCTAGGCATTACCTGGAGCACTGATCCCAGATGAGAGGAAATATAGGCCATTCCCAGGCAAATTAGCCCATAGGCAAAGGCTGGGGAGGAGCAAAGGGGAGGCAACAAAACGATGTGAGTCAACAAGAAGAGGAGGGATAACACACTCTCCAACCAACCCATTTCTGTACCCCTAGAAAGACAGGTCTATTACTTCACATCCCAGCCCCAGGGCCCACTGCTGTCCTCATCGTGTGACCCAGACCTTATGTACTCATGCTCTCCCCTCAAAGCAATACATGATGGAGTGAGGGCTGTGTGCTAAACGAGGCATGTGCTGAGCCCAGGACTGAAGACTGATGACAGTGGTCAGGGTGTATCTCAGAATGAACAAGACTTAAGATACACAGAAGAGTAATCCTACCAAGGCTTCGGGAAAGCATGATGGCCCGGGTTTCGGTCAACTGAGGGAACCAGGGCTGAATTAGGTCTTCCATGGTGACAGTTGCCAGTGAATTGAATGCAGATGATATGGTGCTGCATAGGAGGAAAAAGATGAGCTGTGCTGGGTCTGAGAGCCAGAAAGGCAGAACTAAGGACTCTACAGAGGGGCCAGAGGCATAAAGGAAAGAAACTACCCATCTCTACACAGCTCAGGCTACTTCAAAGGAGGTTTGGAAATATAAATCTTTTCTGATGGAGTATAGGTTTGCTCACAGAGATGGCTGACACATACTTTGGGAGAGGCTATGCTATGTCCTGCCACCCAAATCAGATGGGCACACTGTCCCAGCAGGGCAGGTATAGCACATCGAGGACAAACTGTAGGAGTACCTGAGGGATCCACTGAAGAGGCAGGCAACGAAGAGCCCCGGCAGCCCCGGCATGTCCTTCAGGAGGTCCATGACAAAATAGAGGACTAACTGCAGTAGAGCACAGCACACTCACACAGAAGCCCCTCTGAACATGCCCTTGCCATTCAGAGCCGGGGGCATCAGGACGGGGAGCCAGTAATGAAGGCATCTTCCTCAAGCAGGGAGAAAAGGGGCCCTGCAGAGCAAACTACACAGCCCTTCTAGCGCTTCCTTTGATGAGCAGTGTGATGGCAGCACGCTGCCTACCTCACCAAGCATCTTCTATAAAATGGGGCTGTTGGGAAGCTTAGATGACAGTAGACATGCAACCGTTTCCAACAGAGGGAGTTGGCACCAGTTGTTTCCCACCAATCAAATGGGGTGAACACTGATTAGATTTGCTGAGGACTGGGATCTGACATGCCAGACAGTTGGGACCTCAGGATGACAAAACACTATTCATCTATTTTTTTTTTTTTTTTTTCCAGTTTAGCCACACAGGCACTCTGCTTAGGGACCAATACTGGCTTCTCATGAGCACAGGATGGAGCCAGAGGCCCCCTCACCTGGTCAGGTGCTGCTTGCTCTTGCTGGGGGCTCATAGTATATTTCTTATAATAGGCAAACATGACGAGACCAATGAGGGAGCTCATGCAGAGAGCCACTTGCTGGCAGGGGAACACTGCATAGCAGGAGCTGCAAAAGACAGAGGTGATACTGACACTGCACGACACGCCCCCCTGAGCCTCCAGAGAGCCCCAACAAGGGGTCCGGCACCCGAACCCTGCCCCACCCCACTGCTTCCAGGGAACCCTTCCCAAGCTCTTGCACCAATGTGTCCCATCCCTGAACTCACAGCACAGCAGCCTTCTCTGAGCGGGAACTGAGGTAGCGCTGCACCTGAGCCTGGTTCACACCATACAAAGACAGCATCATGAAGACACCCCCAAAGGCCAAAGTCCAGAAAGTGTGCCGCACAAATGGGTCAGGATCCAGCCTGCAAACACTACCTGGTCACTGCCAGTCACAGCCACCTCATCTCAGGTGTGAATCCAGGCAATGCCCACAATCCACCCACGATCACCTTCTCCCTCTGTAGTAGGGACTTTCTGCCTATGGTGTTGTCAGCTTTCTCTCTGCTTACTAAATGCCTGAGACCAGGCTCTGAAATGTGCTCGGCCACCTGGTGCTATAGGTACCAGTTGAGGAAGCACAGACTTACTCTATCCCAGAGATGAGTTTATGCTGGGAGGCCACTTCCCATACGTGCCCCAAGCCGCCTACTCTGGCAGAGCCTACAATGATAACCACCAGCTGCCCAAGGAACATGACCAGTGTCTGGAACACATCTGTCCAGATGACAGCCTTCAGCCCACCCTGCAAGGAGAAAAAACCATATCTGTCACAAATGCCAAACCAAGCAGATAGGGGGGACATCATACTCCCAAGAAAGCCCCTGCATAATACCAGAAACAGCTGGACTCATTCCACCTTCTCCTTTCATAGCCCACACTTAGTCTCATTCCACCGTGCCTTGCCTGGAACTTCACCCCATTTTTTATCTCTTCTTATGCTAGCCCTTCTTTTCCTTTCCCTTCGTCCTGCTGTTACCCCAGGAATAATCGCAATTACCAGTGCTGTGTAGATGTTGCAGACAATCCCTAGGGCCAGAACTGACAGCCACAGATCAAATCCAGTCACTGAAAACATAAAAATCACAATCCAATCTCTGGAAGGTTTTCCAGAGAAGTCCTGGCGAGGATAGCTACTCAGATCACAGAGATGAACCAGCTGTGGTGACACATGTCTTTAAGCCCAGCATTCCAGGGGTCTAGCCTGGTCTATACAGCAGAGTGCCAGGACAGTCAGGGCTACATAAAGACTATGTCTCAACAAACAAACAAACAAACCATCACAACAATGAAGCAACTAGTCATTAATGGTAACATAAGCCATTCCTCAACAAAGAATGTTCAGAGCTCCACCAAAATGTTGATTAACCAGTTGAGGTGAGGCATGGCAATGTTTGGTCATCTTTCCACTGAGGTGAATGAGTCTACTACTACCTCTGGTAGAGACCAAAAGCCCTGTTAACGAATCAATTATCTGTGTAGCACACTACCCCTCTGTCTGCCAAGGCCAGAAGTCAGGGACTGTGACCCCTCACCTGCATTGAGGGCCAAGGATGGTGCATAGAGAGCGACTCCCATGTAGATCACCTGTAGGATATGGGAAAGGATGTGATGGGGAGAAGACATGAGGGGGAAGACAGTGTCCCCAAGGCTTCCCTTCACCTGGGTTCACTTCCCTCTCACATCTCCCAAAATCTGGCTTGCCACCATTGTCACATATATCGTGGCATTGGACAGGATGCCATCAGGGGCTTGGCCATATAGTTACTCATAAAAATTTCAATCTTTTCAGTTTGAGAACAGGGAAAGGTCTGAGTTCAGCCTCCCCTCCCATGCCCCAGGCTCAGTTTCCAGAATATTCCACCTACCATCTGAAAGATGAAGGTCACAGTTCCGAGGACACGCACTGCTTTATTAAAGCGAAGCTCCAGGTACTAGATACAAGTACAAAGAATTTATATACCTTTTAAGGCATGGCATGTCTTGACCCCAACCCTCAAGAGGCCTAGCAGCACAAGGGAGTAGTCAAACCATACACTCTGGCCCCTAGGCATGGCACTCTCCCACGCCCATCCCCAGCTTAACTCCCCCAGGAAGAAGAGACACTTGGGGCAGCCATTCTTTGGCAGAAGCCTAGAGTCACAATCTTAGGTACCTGTCCCCTTTCCCATCCCTGTGCTGGAGAAACCCTTTTCTGTTTACCTCATAGGCACTGGTAAGATGCAGGCGGTAGAAGACTGGGATGAAGACGTGAGCAGGGATCAGGAGCCCCAGGAAGTAGGAGCAACCCAGGAACCAATACTGGGTTCCAAATCGGTAGATCTCAGCTGGTGCCCCCAGGATGGCTACTGCTGACTGGAAGGTGGCCAGCAGGGACAGTGCCACAGGAAGGCAGCCCATTTTTCGGTCTGCCAGCAGCAGCTCACCAACAGTATGCCGGCCCCATCCACGGCAAGCATGATAGAGCCCAATGGCAAGGGAGAGAACCAGCAACAGGCCAAATACCACATAGTCCACGACAGAAAAGGTGGAGACAACCTTGCTGGTATCTGAGGTGGTGTAGAAGGGAGCTGAGGTGCTCTCCTCCATACTCATCTTCACTGTGCCCGTTTTTCAGCACTCCTACTCCTGGGCTCTGAGCTGTCACTTGACTGAGCAGGTAAAGACAAATGGGTCAGGTTCACAGCATTCCTCTTCCTCCCAGTGACATGGTCCAAGGGAAACTGTAAGAATTCATCTGTCAGTCAAGCCTACCCTGCCCTCATGGCTGCCCACCCACAGGTTTTGGACATGTCATGACCAGACTCAGACTAGCCAGCCAGCACAGTGGTGAATGCCTTCAAGGTATGGGGCAGCTTTGTTAGAAGTTAGGGAAGGGAGGAAGCAGCAGAGTGAGACAGACAGGAGACAGTAACTTGGACAGGACCTTTGGGTGTGCAGTTATGAAATTCAAGCTCTTTCTTAGGTCTCCACCCGAGTAGCAAAATAAAAACCAACTCTAGCCTAATTTTCTTCATATAATCCCTGCATTCATTTTTGGGCACAGACCCAGTCACTACAATGTATTGAGCCAGGAAAGCCCAGCCTGGCGCCGTAGCCCAGCAGGGAAGACATGGGAGAATAGGATTTCCCCTATTCTCAGTGGCCTCAGTCCCACCTCCCTTGACCCAGAGCTACCTTCTTTCTAACAGCACCCCCACGCCCAGCACAGACGAGCGAGCTCGCCTCCCTGAGGTTTCAAGCCCATTCAGAACATCAGAAGGCTGGCCACTCTATATCTTTTGGGATAGAGGCATGTGCCACCACTGTCCAGGTGTACCCTTTATTAACATCCCCGTATCACTAGAGAAACCCTACCACTCTCAGCTCCTGCTAGATAGACACACTTGACAAGGGTGGATCTGGTCAAAATGAGACAGACAGGGGCTGGAGGGATGCTCTGCGGTTTCTCTTGTGGCACTACTATTCTCAGCATCTGCATGGCAGCTCACAATCATCTATTACTCTAGTTTCAGGGGATCTGACGCCTCTTATGGCCTCTGTGGGCCCTAGGCACACATGTGGTACACAGACATACACCAAGGCAAAACACCCATACACATTCATTATGCTGGAATCAGACATTTACCTGGAGAGGCAATCCCTGTTCTGAGGCAGAGCTGCCTGGAGCAGGAGGAGAGAGCAAGAATTGGGGTCACAGAAAAGCATAGAAGTCATTTGTTCTGGGCTCATCAGGGAACCAAGCACAGTGCCCCCAAATGGTCGTATCACCCTGTGCCCTGACCCAACTCTCTCTAGAAGTTCCAGAGCTCATATTCAACAGCATTCTTAGATGGATTAGGCTCTCAGGCTAAATCGTTCTTGGCACCCTGAATGCTAGACAGAGTTAGAAAGGAGTTGCCTAGAGAAGATGGAAAAGTTACTTTTTTACTTTTCTAACTCTTATACACACATAAATCACAATCTTTAAAATAACAAAGATGGGAACAGACTATTCAAAGTAAATCACTCTTACAGCATCCTCACTTCACACAGAGCATTAAAGATCCAGACATTTAAGTAACCTTTTCTTTCTTCAATGTTTATGCATGCATGTGAGCAGATTCATGAGCATGTGGAAGCTATAGGTATCTTTCTTGGTCACTTTCCAGACAGGGTTTGTTTAGAGAGTCACAGGCAACTGCCATGGTTTGGTCTTCATAATTGGGTGGCAAGTCCTTTACCTACTACTAAGCCATCTCCTGGGCCTCTCAAGCAACCTTCCTAAAAAGAACAGGTAATTGTCAGAGGCAACATTAGAATGCAGGCCTAGAGATCCCTCATCCATCCTACTCTCCCAAGTGTATGTCTTGTCTGAAGAGCAATCCCCAAGCAGGGCACATGCTTTTAACCCCAGCACCAAGGAGGGAGGCAGATCCAGAGGAAGATCTCTGTGAGTTCAAGGCCAACCTGGTCACAGAGCTAGTTCCAGGACAGCCAGAGCTACAATGAAACCCTGTCTCGAAGCAAACAAATACAAAATAAACCAAAAGTGATCCCCTAGAAGTACTCCTAGGCATGGAGGGGAATGCTAGAGAATGCTATGTATTTAGATAGCTCTACGTGATGACAGTTAATGTCCTCTGAATACTTGGCGTGTGCACCAGCAGTAAATAAAGTGCCTCACTGTCACTACTTTAGACTTTTGTCCCATCAAACAATCAGCCACACCTTATATCCTATCTAGTACCTTCTAGGTACTAAATTCCTACCTTAGAGCAGCCTGTCAGAGTGAAGCAGACACTCTGTAAATAATCTATAGCGCTACATCCTATCTAGTATGTGTCACTAAACTTTGAGACCCCCCCCCCACCCTTCTAAACTCAAACCTTCCCCTCTAAGCTCTACAAACACAAGTGATTTCCTGTTTTTTGTATTTGCCACTGTGGAATCTTCTATCCCAACCACCTCCAATGGTGAGCAGCAGGATATTTCAACTGAAACAGCTTCAGAGCATCTCTCAACAAAACCTGTAAAGAATTAATCTTGAATTTGTATTAGAATCTTGAATCTCTATTAGGGGGTTGGAGAGACGGCTCAGGGGTTCAAAGAGTTCTGACTTCTCTTTGGAAGATTCATGTATGGTTCCAATCACCCACATCAGTCTAAAACTACCTATAACTCCAGCTCTGTCACTTCTGATCTTCCCAAACCAGTACTCACATGGACACAGACAGACAGACAGAAAGACACACACACACACACAAAACATTAAAGAAATCTTCCACAGGTCCAACCTCACTATTCCCAAGACTAGGAGAGGAGCAGAGAGCTACCTGTAGCCAGTCATTCATAGAACAGTGTAGATTTCAACTAATCTAGTGACATATTAACACACCCCTTCCACCAGGAGATCAGGGCATCTTCTACCACAATGTATTCAGCATACCTGGGCAGGTAGATATTTCCTGGTTGACAAGATGTGGTTCCCACAAAGTAAGAAAGGGTCTGAGCTTGGATCACATGTTCTACACTCACAAATGCTACTCTCCAGATCAGCAATCCCACAAGGCACTCTGGTTTAACCTAAAGATGCCCTGGGCAACATCTTGAGATTTCTCCCTCTCTGGCAAGTCATGACTGCTATGAGATGAAAACTTCTTAGACTAGCAGGGTGGTGATAACATGCCTTTAATTCCAGCACTTGGGAGGCCGAGGCAGGTGGATCTCTGAGTTCCAGGCCAACCAGAGCTACATAGTGAGACCATGTCTCAAATAAAAACATGAGGGGAGGGGGTGATAGGTCCCACTACAGACTGGGTCCTTCTACTTCTGGGGTTTCCTGATAAATTATTTGCATTAGGCAGCAAGAATTCTCTAGGATGAAGGAACAAAGAGCCAAGCAGACAGGAAAATGCCAATCCAGTAACAAACACAGTTTTCATTTCACACAATCCAATTCTAGGAAAAGAACAATGGCTTTCTTAAAAAACCCCACTGATTCTTACCAATGGACACGTCCATTTCAGAGGAGCCCAAAGAAAGCCAAGCTATTTTACCAAGTAGGTCCCCTCTTAAAAACCCTGTATTCACACACTGCACTGGATTACTTTAACTGCAGTGAAAGGTATTGATACGGGTTGTGGGTTTGTTTTTTGCAGTCCCAGGATATGAACAAGCTAGAAAAGCACTGGGCAATAGGGCTAAACCCTTACCCTCTTCCTCTTCTGAAGTGTAAAGGAACACCTGCAGAGACAACCTCCACCAATAAGTCTTGGGTTTAAAATTCCCCAGTTTCTTACTAAAACAAAATACTCCAGCAGCTAAATGTATTAGTAAATGTAAATTCAGGACTTCCAGGCAGGTACCTGGAACATGTGGACAGGAAACACAAGCAGAGTTACCTGAAACGAACTCCAATTGTCTTTGGTGACCTTTTCAGGTGTCCTCACCAAAAGTAATAGGTGTCCTGGGATGTGACGGGTCTCTCTCTCTCAGCGCCCTCCCAGATAGGACTCCTGCCACTGATTCTGCGGAAGCCCTACCTTGCCTTGAGTCAGTGGTTCAGATAGGGCTACCAACGTTCATTCGTTCTCTCCGAAACCAGCATTCCTGGGAAGGCAATGAACGAGTTAGGAAGCGTCTTTCCCGCTTCACCGCCTTGCCGGGGCTCGCGAACACTACGCAACATTAAGGTGAAGGGTTCCCAGACTCGTGTCCTCCCTGCCAGCGTTTGCCCTTCGCCCTCCGATGTTCGCTCCTCCATCACCCGTACCCTCTTTCGATCCAGTTTTCCCCTTCTCTCCACACGTGGCGAACCCACCACACTTTGAGCTAGTATTTAAGACCTTCCCCAAAGCCCACGCTGAGAGGCTCACCCCCCGCCCCGCCCCGCCCCGCTCCGCCTGTCCTGCTGCGAGGCGGCTGAACTCAGGCTCTGCACAGCCCAATCCCCGCCCCACCCCGTCCAACCCCATCCCGGCCCACCTGAGACACCTCCTCCACACGTGGGTAGCTGGCCGGCCGGCCAGCCCGGCCCGAGCAGATCCCGGCTTGGTGACAGCGGCACCCCACCCCCCTGCCCGCCCTGATTGCCAGGCCGCCATGTTTATTGAGGGCGGATGGAGAGGCCCAGTTGTCCGCACCCTGCTGAGGAAGCATGCAGCAGACCCAAAACACTAAGCGGCGCCTGGGGCGGCCTGCGTTACAGGAAGAATGGAGGGAGGGTGGGTCTGCCCAACAGGACCAGGTATACTGGAGCGCAGACAGGAGCCCCACAAGCCCGCGAGCAGCAGCGGCGCTCTTGCATATTATGCCACGCCCCGCGGCGTCGGCCCAGAACCGATTAGGCCACGCCCCAGGCGGACAGGATTTGGGAGACTAGGCCCCGCCTCCTCACGCTCCGCTCTCGCGAGCTGTCAAGAAGGTTGAAAGGAGTGGAAAATGGCGTCGTGCGAGCCAGGCAGTTCTGTGAGCCCGGTATCTTGGGCTGCTGCCCTGCTCCTGGCTGTGGGCATGGAAAGGGCTCTGGCTCTACCGGAGGTACAGAAGAAAGTTTGATATCAGACAGAAGAAGGTTGCTGATCGTCAACCTTGTGTCGAGCTCGCCCGCCAGTGACTGTCCCAGCTCCAAGCTCAGATTTCTCCCTGAAGATTCCCTAGCCCTGCCCCAGCGGGGATCGTGCTCCCGAGTACTCACGTACAGCCGACCATTGGCACCTTCGCCTTGCCCACACTCAGAGACCTTTGAAATTTCACCTCTTGCTTTTGA